TGATCTAATGAGCACCGATGCTCATCTTATCCTAAGCACCGATGAGTTGGCACATTAATTCATTGGTGGATAAAGATTTTGTTCCAATCCACCAATGAATTAATGTGCCAACTCATTGGTGTTTAGGATAAGATGAGTACCGGTGCTCATTAGATCATTTCTGTATATATATTATTTTTGTTTCTTTTAGAGCAATATATCAATTTTTTTTATTAGAATCCTAGTGTCATGCTATTCAGGAGTAATAACATATTATTATCTAAAATAATAAATTGTATAAGAATTTACTTTTTAGGAGTAAAAACATAATTTTTAATTATGCACTTCGAGAGCAAGCAAAATATAACTAGAATATAAATAATAGTGTGCTATTTTAGAAACAATAATAAATTATTATTTAGAAAACATTAACTCTTCAAGAGTATATTTTTTATGATAATATAATATTTATAGAGTTGTGCTTCTTCAGGAACCACATGTTAATATTCTTTTTTTGAAAAAAAAAAATTAATTCATACTCTTTAGAAACAAGTAATATTTTTCAGGAATATTAATAATAATGTTGTGATACTTCAAGAGTAACAACAAACTATTTATAATAGATAGATTTACGATTAATATTTTTCTGAAATATTAATTATAACGTTGTAATACTTTATGATAAATTATCAATTTAAAATTTATAAAAGAAAATTTAAAAGTATTTAATTAAATTAAAGACAAAAAAAAATATATTCAACAATCATCATAAACATATATATTTCTTAAACATGATAATTATTATAATATTATATAATTGTTGAAAAGAGTTTAATTTTAGAATATGCATATGTACCGTCTACTTTATAACAGGTTAGAGCATATAATTATTCTTAAGCATAAAATATTACTTTAATAATAAACATAACCAAGTTGCACCTCTGTTTGATTTTCTCCAATTACCTATACAGTTGAATATAGCCAAGTAAATCTCCTCTCTTCGTGCTTCCACTGTTGGATGCCATGTTGAGTTGACTATCATTCCAAGCAATTCTAACTAGACGGCTTTGAAAAACGAAAGTAGGGATGTGAAAAGGCGTGTATCCACTTCCACTATATCTAAAAGACTCATCTTTAAAGACACTATTCACAAGCTGAACGACCAAGCAAGCCGCCATTTTCGAGCCGAACCGTTTTTGAGCCTAGCTGGTTAGATATTTTCCTATTTTCTCTCCTCCTAACCCGTGCTCTCGCTCTCTCTTCTCTCGACAATCAACGATTCTCTGCCTTCGTCCTCTCCAACCAAACTACAAGAAATTCACAGACCTAGGTGCTGGCAACTCCAAGTCGCTGAAGCCCAACCACTCCGGTCGCCTTCTACCGCT